AGGCCAAACTAATCAACATCCCCGGCCTGTCTCTCTCTCTCTCTCTCTCTCTCTCTCTCTCTCTTGTGACCCCTTTTTCTCAAAAAACATATAATCGATGAGAAGAGTGGCCGCCAGAAGACATGCCTTCGCCCTCACGTCCATATCCGATGGGAAGAGTACGCCATAGATGTCTGCGTCGGTGAAGGTCTCCCTCAAAATTGCGGACCACCTCTTCGTGATCCTCCCGATGGCAGTGTTGGTGTCTTTGGCTAAGACATCGAACTCGACGTCTTGACACAAACGGGTCCACAGATTCTCATCGTCTGATTCCCGTTGGCGTCCAATATATGAAAGGCTGGTCTCAAACAACTGCAGTCCTGTACGACGTATCCGATGAGGTGTCCGACCGGCGCCTCAACTCGCATGTACTGAAGACAACAGAAGCAGAAACAAGTGTCACATCTGAGGGGTCGCACCAAATGCAGGACCTCTCGATTGGATGGCCCAACGATTCGCATATTGAACGCACGGTTAGGTCCGCAACAGTTACGGGTGCAGCAGTCGGTGTCCTCGGAGGCCAGGTATACATTTTGGCCCAAATTGTTTTGGATGTCGTACTCATTGTTTGTCTCAAATCCGGTAAATGTCTCCAATATTTCCACTTTTTGTTTGACTATTAACTGATCCACTTGTAAGAGGTATTCGAGTCCAGGCGGACAGTTCACTGGCCTAAGAGTGGTTGGCTTTGGGATGTGTTGTGGTGACTGTGCTGTCATTGGACTCAACTGTCGATTATTGGGATCTTGTGGTGGATTTGCACTCATTTTATAAATCTTCTGAAGAAATCCGTTAAATGATTAAAATATTTGAATGACTATAACGACTATAACTTCAATAAATATTGAAAACTTAAACTAAATAATACTATACTATACTATACTATACTTCGTTATTCACGAAACATTCATTAAATCTATTATTTGCTTTAAATCAAAGTCACAAAAACTATTGATTTAATGATCAATGAATATGCCATCGATTGTGGTTTCATTTGTTCTTATGTTTCTATTTAGTGGTCATAACTCTCAAGATTATCCATCAGATCTGATTCCTGGAAGCATACCTCCGCCCAGTAGTGAACATACGAGTGATAACGACAGCAATGCCCACAACTGGTCACCAACTGTTCCCACGGATCCCACCGTAGACCTGGAGTCCACGACACCCAACACTTCGATAGATATAATACCAGCCATTACTCGACCGCAGATCAAACCCAAGGGCAACAAAGATGATGAAAGTGGTCAGTATATGACATGATTATGAATCTTATGCGTTGAATACATGATTGTGTTTGACCAGGGTCATCAATGTCCATTCTCTACATCTTAGTGGGCTGTGCCATTGTGTTGATAGTGTTGATGATAATCGTTTGGCTCATAGTATGTCTGAAGAATGTGTACAAATCCAAGACATCGACGACCACTCGGTCGCAGACCGTCGTCGACGAGCCCATAACCGAAGGTCCCTTAGATCCACGGTATGGCCGACTCGACCCTAATCTGAATTTATCGTTAAGAATAGCGAATCCATCGGTTCCTAACTTAGACCAACATATGCCCCCTCCATGACCCCTTCCCTACCCTCTCGACCAATACTTAACAAAATTCAATGTCTCTATCGATTAAAAGCTGAGTTTTTCTGTCGATTAGTTGTCTTTATATTAAATTTTCTCAAAAACTTATGTTATTTAAGAAATTAATGACAAAATGAATAAAAAATTAAACAAAAAAAAAGTTTTTCTAATGATTTGGTCTCAAAACTGACGGAAAGTATAATAAGAGGACTGAAGGCGCCATCCATTGAGTGAATGAATGAAAGCATTGAAAACAATACGTAAATAAACAACTCATGAGTCGTCCATAGAGTGAACCATCGGATCCCCGAAACCGCCGAAGAATGTCTTCGCTCTATAATTCCAGTTACTATCAGTCGCTCCCGACTACCGGTGCCATCGCTGTCACCAATGAGAAGGGAGAGAAGACTATGCAGAAGGTTAAGGTCCAGAGATATATCACTGGCCGCAAGTATGCCTCCATTTCTCTCACCACTTATTGTCTTAAATCTCATTTCTTTACACTTTTCTCTCCCGAAGACCTCGTTTTGCCACAAATGAAGACCAGTCGTCATCGGAGTCCGAGTCAAGTGAAGAGAGTGACAACGAGTTGACCACTAATTGGAGGAATAGTTCGCAACAAAGAGGACAGCAATTGAACGCTCAATACGTGGGCTCTCATGTCGTGAAGACTGAGGACATCGATGTCGACGAAGACA